CTTATTGTGTTTTTCAGGACCTGAAGCCTTAGAGGACGATTGGGAGTGGCCATGAGGCGAATGGGATATACTTGTTGGATGTCTCTGATCAAAGTCCTGAATTACCTAATGGAGTTGCTTCGGAATTTGTTTTATCAGAGTCAATTAATAGAGTCATGAAATGTCATTTCAGATTTGGTCATTTGTCTTTTTCAGCTTTGAGTCATTTGTTTCTAGAAATGCTTAAGGGAATATCCCTATCGAGTCTTCATTGTGAGTCATGTGAACTTGCTAAATATTGTAGACAATCTTTTACAGTGAGTAATAAAAGATCTGTTTCTCCTTTCCATATTGTGCACTCTGATGTGTGGGGGCCATATCATTTACCTGCTATGGGGCGCTACAAATATTTCATTTCTTTCATTGATGATTTCTCTCGTTACACATGGATTTACCTTCTAAAATCCCTAGATGAAGAACCAAATATTTGTACAAAAGTTTCATGAACTTATTCTTACCCAGTTTAACACTCAAATCAAAATGTTCCGATCTAATAATGCAAAAGGAATATTTTGAAAAGAGTCTCTCCTCCTACTTTGATACCTTTGGAGTTATTCATCTGAGTTCCTGTTCCTACACTCCTCAAAAAAATGGAGTGGTGGAAAGAAAAAACATACATGTGGTTGAGGTTGCAAGGAGCCTTCTTTTTGCTTCCCATGTCCCTGTTAAATTTTGGGGTGATGCTGTTCTTACAACTACATACTTGATAAACCGAATGCCTTCTCGGGTTCTGGGGTTTAAAACTCCCTTTAGCTTGTTTTTTTCCAAATGAAGATCTGTTTTCTCTTCCTCTCCGGGTGTTTGGGTGCACTTGCTATGTCCATGTTCACAGTCATCAAAGACATAAGTTTGAGCCTAAAGTAGACAAGTGTCTTTTTGGGATATGCCTCCACACAAAAGGGGTACTGCTGTTTTGATCCAGTTCGTGGCACTCACTTTGTTTCTAGAGATGTCACATTTGCAGAGCCAGTCCCTTTCTTTGGTACTTCTCTTGAGGGGGAGCATTCAGACGAGTTGTTTGCATTGTCACCATCTATTCCTCTTCCAATTCCCATTGAATCTTCCTTAGAGTCTACTCCAATTGAGTCATCTATCCCTGCTCCCCCTCCTACTCGTCCCCCTTGTTTTCTTTCCCATCCTATTATCCAAAGGTGGTACCAAAGACAAAGACTCAAAGACATGCAAGTTGTTTCCACACCTTCAGATGTGCCTCTTGCTCCTCCCATCACTACTGAGATAACATGTCAACCCTCTTCTACCACTAAGGATACCTTCCCTGACCTTGATCTCCCTATTGCCCTTCGCAAAGGCAAACGGAAATGCACAACTCATTGTATTTCCAAACACCTGTCCTACGACCTCCTTTCCCCTTCCTACTATTTTTTTTTATCAATAACACTTTCATTAAATCATCAGTAGAAAATTTACAAGTGGAAGACAAACACACTTATCTTCCAAGAGCCACAAAGAGCCTCAAGAAAGGAAAAAAGAAAAAAAGACATTAAAGTTACAGCTTAGCCCAAAACAGTGAATCCCTTTCTGCC